TTGAGAAGGAAAAGATCCAAGCGTATTGTGCGATATCCCCGATCGGTAATCCATAGAAGACCATAGCGACGTCGTCTTCTCATACGTCAAACATGTACTATCAAAGTATCTAGACCGACATCGGGTATTTCCGCTAGTAAGTTATACTTTACGCTGTCACACTATTCTTTCTCCGCTAACTTATACTCATCTTGCTTACAAATGATGAAAAACAAAGATTTGAAAACAGAGAACGACTAAAGATAAAGATGTTCTTTTAAAGCCTTTTTAAAGTTTTTGAGAGAATTGATGGAAACGACGTTTTCTAGATCTTTAGCATTCCAGTCTTTTACAGTCCTCCAAAATAAGGATGACTGAACAGTCTCGAACGGAATGAAGAGTATGCCGACCGTATAATAATACGATGCTCGGAGAGACCTAGAAGTCAATTTAGCAAGATAATTCTGAGATTCGAGAAGAATCAAGTTATTATAAATTTTATAAAATGATGTGAGTCGAAAGTACTGGCGTCTGACACTGAGATCGGGCAAATCTAGTTTATTTACTACATATCGTGTCAACTGAGACACAATTCATATTTTAATCAAGTATCTCAGTCGAGAATATCTCAGTTGAGAAACCAACATATCTGCGAAAATATTCGTTTCTCAACTGAGATACAATTTTTGACATGTACGTTGAAAACAACAGTTCAATAGTTCTACAAAATCTGCAAGAATTTCAACGACTTTTAAGTCATTTTTCATACAACTACTTAGACATTTTTCACAAAACTCGTGATTCAGACATAAGCACCGATGATGACGTCAAGAGCAATGGATAATAACTGATTTTTTTGTTACGTCTTTGCATACATACGATTACTTGATAATCATTTAATACATGTTCATATTTGACTGTGTAATGCGGGAGTAATTGCTCAGTAGAGATACATCGTATACCTAATTTCATTTCATTCACTATTGAATAATAGACCGTACTACACTGCACTCTTGTACAATTGCACGTTTCACCGCACGTGTCAAGATTATATCTTAGGTGAGAAATTCGTAAAAGTCCATATTTTATAAAATGTATCTCAGTTGAGAAACAAATATTTTTGTAGAAGTATTGGTTTCTCTTCAATTTTAAAAATATTTATAGACAATATTTCCTGAATTATTTTAGACTGTCAACGTTAAAATTTTATACTGAACATTCTTTACTTCAAAACATAAATTTCTCATTCTTATGTACTATGCTGTGTCAGACTTAAACATCAACGTTTCCACGTTGATCAATGAATGATGTTCAACAGACATGTGAACTTACGACGAATAATCATCTAAAACTCTAGATGATATTCAGTATTCAAATATTTGGCTTTTGTTTCCAAATATATCAACTACCAGCTGTGTTATTTTTTTTCTTAGTAAGTTAATATTGAAGCAGATATCTTCAATGAATTTATTTTTTTTTTCGTATTTTCTCCTAATGTAAGTTTTTAGTTATTTTTTGTTAAATGATTTTGTATGTATGTTTTGTTTCGATAACAGTAGTTTTTAATATCAATACGAAGCCGAATCAACATTTTTTTAATTGTTTGCACGTTGCTATTGTATATAAAAATGTCAGTTTACTTATGAATGAATAATGATGCATTACACTTTTTTCTACATTCTTCATGATTAAGATAAGAGGTGCAACGAAATACGTTAATGATTAAACAAGGAATTGCAAAAACGAGATGCTGATAAAATCACTCACCTTCTGGCATCTTCCATTGAAATATAATTGATACTCATAAAGTTTTACTATTTATCTATCGTATGAATATATTTTAGTTAAATAGTTATAGTTATAGTTTTTTGAAACGTTTTAATGAAATGTACAAGTTTATATTCAGCTATCTACGGATTTTCCGTAGTTTTTTCCTTTGAGTAATATTAGATTAATTCTAATGTATGAAGGAAAATTGAGATATAAAATGTCGAAATATGTGTAAATGACGAAAACGAGAAAAATCTGCTTCGAGCATCAGTTGAACGTGTTTCTATCATTTCATCGTTTACACCATTTTAAAAGAGAAAATTATCTCATAAGAGCTGTTTTGACAAGATTTTTTTCTCTCTTTCTTTTTTTTTTTTTTAAGTTTTAAAACAAAAGGCGAAAAGAAAAATTTCGCACTCTACGTATGAAATAGAAAAGACGAAATATTTTAATTTTTCGTTTTGTCGCCTGATAACATTTGTATATAGTCATAAGTGTGTAAGTGTTTTTTTTTTTTTTAGTTTGATCACTAATATGAATAAAACGGAAAACAATAATTTAGAACAAATAAGTCATTATTTATACGCTTATCTATACATAGTCATTTTGGTATTCGGTCTAATAGGAAATATTTTATCATCAGTTTTATTTACGATAACAAAATTAAGTTATACTTCATGTGGAATATATTTTCTTCTATTAGCTATTTCTGATTCTCTGGCATTAATTGGTGGTCTTCATCATTGTTTGGTTATTGGTTATAATGTACAAGTTCAAACAGCAGCATATTGTCGTNTACCATTTATTCTAATATCTATTTCAAATATTTTTATTATTGTTGATCAATATAAACGACGTTTAAAATTACGTAAAAGAAATTTAGATTTATCATTAATTACACTTTTATTGACATGTTCAGGAACATTTATTATATGTAATTTACCAATAACAGTTTTAGGTGTTATATATCAATACATCTCGAAATCATTTGATACTAAGTCAAACTATGATAATACAGCATTTGCATTTGATGTTTTAAGATTACTATCTGATCTCTCTTTTGCATTGAACTTTTATTTATATTATTATACGTCAACATTATTTCGACAACAAATAATTATATTATTTAAACGTTTATTTCGAATAAAAACAGATATTAAACAAAATGATATTGAACTACCTTATTTAAGTTATAATCAAACTCAATTGAGATCACACTATAGATTAAATTCAATTGAAGAATCATCATCACCATCACAACAAACAACAGCAAGTTCAAACAGTTTTATATCAAAATTATACACAAAAACGTAACCTATATAACATCAAATAATTGAATTATAATCCAAACATTTTTGTATATGAATTCAAGTAAAAAAAAAAAGAAAAAAAAGAGGTACATTTATTATAAAACAGACATATTTTACTGTGAGATGATAATAATGTCTACAGACAAAATAAATCGATTTTTCAACTAGCAGAAAGAGATATTTTAAAAAAAAAGATAACTTCAAAGATTAAACAATGTTTGAAAGAGTTGATATAAACTATTTTTTATTTTTATTAGGCAAAGTATTTCACCATATCTACACTAAATCGGAGAACCATTATATAGAGACAGATAAGATTTTCATATAGTTAAAAAAGAAAATTCATCAAAGTGAGCAATAAAAAAATGAAATAAACAAAAGACTAAAAAAATAAAAATAAAAAATGTTAAAATGTTTGTGGCAGATGTTTCAGAAAAGAACTCTGGAAGAGTTAATTTGATCTATACCATAATAACAGGTAAATTCGAATAATGGGAAAAGATTATCATCAATAGATCATAAATACGTTGTAAATAGCGTTTTTTGATGACAATTTTTCAACTGTAAGATTTATGGGATCTCTTGTAGATGCTAATATATTGATGAATTTGTGTGTTTCATTCATCGTCTACCAAATGATGTGCTGAGATATTGAGAACATATTTGACATAAATACCTATTAACACAAATGTGTGTGTATGTGCCATGCACAATACAGGCTAGATCTGACTATTTTAGATTAATTTACTAAAAAATACAAGTAATAAGTGGGTTTTTCAGTGAAATGAAGTATATAATGAGCAAATTAATGTAAACTTTGTTAATAGTGAAATGATGTGCAACTCTCGCCAAAATTCCGCATTTAGACTTTTTTATTGTCTGATATTGTATATGATTAATGCCAATTATTCGCTGTTAGTACTTCCATAATTTGAATCGGTAAATTGATGAGTTGGGGTTATAAAACATTAAATTTCTTTCATTATCATTTACTATTGTTTGTTCTCGCTCTAAAGCAGTATAATCGTCTTTTTTGTGGCAAATGATTGAAACAGTCACTTACTTTCTTCAGAAACAGTAGCTCTGATACTCAATGTAAAAACCTTTAAAACACGCTTATAAAGCCATATTGGTATGTCTTCGACTTTTAGCTTTTTCTAATATTTTCTATAGGTTCTACAAGTTATTGATATTTTTTTATATTTCAATTTGTTCTTGACAGATATTATTCAGAGTATGATGTGAGAATATTTATTATAACAATAGTTTGTGTGTGTGTTGGTGAGGTGATATATATTGTTAGTTTTCAGATATGGCATATACGACATTTTTTAGAATATAAAGTGATTATGATTATACTCTCCACGTTTTTTGTACAACCATGAGTTTATGTCAAAATAGAGAGAAAGAGAGAGAACAATCGTTTTGCATATCATGCGGAGATTGCATCATCAGTTACCAGCATATCTAAAACATGTGCACAACTACGTATAATTTAAAAGAAGTTTATTGTTTCTGCCATTTCTTTGAAAACAATATATCATTACCTGTATAATAGTAATAATAATAATATCAATTATAGTTGGCAAAGATATTTTAAATGGTGTTATGTGATTCGCACTATTTCCAATTTATAGTTGATTCTACGTTGTCATTACGCTTCATGTTTTTATATTCCACCATTGTCGAACAAAACAAATATGAATGTTTGTGAACAACTATTGACATTAATTGAACATCATCTCTTATTGGTACATCTATTTGATATTGCTCAGGTCCACATTCAACTTTGATCAATAAAAAGACTGATATTTTATGTTATTTCTGTACGTACATGCATCGTCTATGGGTAGAAAAATTGGCGAGCTTAAAAGTATTCTATGCAATGTTTGAGTAAGCTAACTGAATTTAACATCAGAAATTGTCAATTTGAGACTATTACAGGCGAAATATAAGTAATTTAAAATTAATTTATCAATTTTACACCAGTTTCGTACATAGTCGTAATATTTGTATGTTCCGGCTCTCTTCATTCTATGTAGACGTCAAAAAGATTTGATCTAGCTGTTCATGTTTCAGAATAATGGCATAATTCGATCACTACATCAGCATCTGTCATCTATTTAAGGTCAATTTTCGAAATGAAACAATGAAGAATGAACAAAGTAATGCATATGACAATACAATTATAATTTTTGAAATAAGTTTTAAACAAACGCGGATAGAATACAGAAAAATAGAAATAATTTAGAAATAAAAGCATTTTGTGATCTCATGATAATAGGAAAAAAGACTGGAAACAGGGTACAAAATATGAAGACAAGATTAATTACAAAATCGATAAAATCGGGAATATTTTTTTTCGTCAAAACAAAGAACGAAAAGAAAATATCTTATTGCACATATAAAACATAGTTTATCAAATGTTTCTCAATCAAGTTTTACTCGTGGAGTTGTCATTCTATAAATAATTGTGTCTTTGGCAGGGTCCATTGTCCAGAAAACATAGGTAATAACTAACAATGTCAAAAATAATACCAGTGACGTCCAGAAAAATATATTGAACATTACTGGATATTGATCAGAATACATCGTTGCGATAGTTATGTTATGATCCTATGCACAAGAAAAGAAGGCAAAAAATTTCAACAAAATCTTTCTAAAATAATCCGGATAAGATCAAAAATGCTTATAGCAAGAGAAAGAGCATATTATGTCTAAAAAGAGAAGGATGAGCAGTATGACATCATAGGAAAACAAGTCTAAATCAGTCGAATTGAGCAAAATACATCGTAGAGATCATTCCTGCAAGAGCAAGTTTGTCTACGTTTAACTCTATCTTAATGCTCGTTAGATTTAAACACTATACATACAGCGACTGCTCGTCGTTGACGGTGATGAATAGATGGAGTTGTTAAAGATAATGCTAAAACTTTTGGATCTCTTGCAACAACCTAAAACATTGAAATACAAATAAAATATCTTCAGAAAAAAAGTAAAAGCAAAACCTTATCAGTGCAGACTTTGGGTCTAAAATGTAACTTCTCCATTCAAACGTGATGGACTAAGATGGGACTGGATAAAATCTATATCCCGATCGTGTACGTTTATGCTAATTAACTTTTCTACGTAAGATGTATAGGTGGGTACTTGCTCATCATATCATTTGCATCATCAAAAGTTGTTGAAGATGAGATCACAGAGATCTCGAAACATCGACAAAATTTTCAGATTTCCGACAATTTCTCCATTTACAAATTTACACTCCTTGCTTTAGACGAATTCAGAGAAGAAGTTACACAAAACAATTGAATTCATTTCTTGCCCAATATGTGTTTTGAGAGAAAAAGTGTAAATATCTCTTCTAACAATGGCTCAAAGATCATATATTCAACTATCCTTTTACTGGAACCATTTTCACATAAAAACAAGATCCTTTTTATTTGATTTCAAGAGTCAAAACATCTGTAATAATATATCTTACTTGTTGAATTGTAGTGTTGAATTGTTTCTGCAAATTGTTAACAAAATCATTATTTACTACACCCTCACTGTTGCAATAAACACAATCAACAATAATATATTTAATTGTCGGTTTATCTGTGATCTAAAACAGTCCACGATAAAAATAGAAACAATGTCTTCTTGACTTCAGAAAATTTAAATAACCTTTTCTCCCGTTGTAGATATCGCTTCAGCTAGTTGTTGCTGAAGATTTTGTAATTCAGATGATGTTTGCTAGAATAATAGTTATGATCTACATACACTAAACTGAATAAGAGACTTTTTTATATACTAACGATTGATATAGTTTTTTCCGTTATACCATTCTCGTTACCAATGGCACTGAACTTTTGTTTAATGGGATTGAAATCAAACTCACTATCCTGAAATATTTTAAATTTTTATAAATATTGTCCTCTAACAAAACCATCATATTTACATCAAGTAGTGGAATACCATAGTCGAAAAGACTATCGAGACCACGAATATAAAATAGCCAAGTTGATACTGGAATATCGAAAGGTTTTGTTGTTTGAAATAATGGAACTGCACTATCCTTCTAGAATTTAAAAGTCAGTAAATGTTGCACACTAAACAGATCTGATCTTGGTTAATCAGCTCACATCATTCATTGATAAACCAAAAAGCTTTCCAACATTTTCTAGCAGATCTGAAACACCCGTCCCTGCGTTTTGCTCAACAAATGAAATATGACCAGGACTATTGTGCATTGAACACTGGCTGGCATATGAATGGTCTAAACAATGTAAAATTTTTGTAAAAAAGATCCACAAGAATCATTATTTTAGAATTACGTACAAAAAATTGAATGAGCAATACAGACGCTCAACAAAAACGTAGCCAATGACATCTAAAACGTTAACAAAACGATTACTTTGTTGACAAAGGAAGCAAACAGTAAGGAGAGTTTTTTCTTTCATTATGATGGAACCAGAACTCGCACACAATATGAACGTGAAACATTCAAAACAGAGGTTCACTGTTTGCTTTCTAAAGAAGAATGAAATATTGCTGAGAAGATTAAGCTTTTATTATTTATTAGTTTTTTATTTGAAAGATGCTGATGGTGCATAATATGGATTAAAACTTATTAAAATTCTTGATTCCTTCGAATTAATCATAAACTTTTTTCGATTTTTTTAAGGAGATTTCTCTAAACTGAAATATCTTAGAATATGTTGATAACCTGATGTTAAATTTCTTCATGTTGGAGAATGGAGAATCCAAAAGTTGTTTCAGATTAGTCAAAAGTTGTTAAGTGTGGATAAACTATGGAAGCTCACTATTCGTCGAAAAGACAGCTGTAATGAACCATTAAGCCTTGTCGCTAATATAAAGAGAGTGACTAGTGTGGGTACTGTCAAATTTTGTGGAAAGCACGTTGAAGAGGATGAAAAAAACTATATGACATATATCTCACATATACTTGACGTGCGCTATTAAAACAGATTTTTGCCTTTGCCCAAGCACTTTTGAAACAGATGAAAATCTCGTGGTATTTTTGCGGGAAAAACACTTTTTCTGACTGTGCTTGGGCAAAGGCAAAAATCTGTTTTTCTAATAGCTCATGTTGGGTACATGCGAAATATATGTCACTCCATGTCCTGTAATCCCGTGGAATGGTGCAGCACGTACTCAAAGTTTGAGAAACGACGAAAATCGCCTTTAAAAGTTGTTTTTTTCATCATTAGATGGTTTTTAATCTCAATGAGAACCATTTCATCAGATAGAGCTTGAAGAGATGCGATGTCGAATGCGTATCTTGTTGTCGTCCCTAGTCGAACATCTTGGAACCAAGATCTTGACATCTTAGATTTTTTTGAAAAGATCTTGGCAAGATCTTTGGTACAGGATGTCAAGATATTTTTGTACCCAAGGTCTTGCGTAAGATCTTGGGTACAAAAATGTCTTGAGATCTTGTCCGCATTTTTTCAAGATCTAGTGCCAAATCCTAACGTGAGATCTTGGGCAAGATGTTGGACTAGGGGTGGGTTGACACGATCTTTTTTGAGAAAAATATGGTTTACAAAAAAGGCCTACTTTTCGGAAAAAACGATACTTTTAAAAATTTCTCTGAGAACGTGTTTAGCATTTTAAAACTTTTTGTCCGTTAGGACTTTTGCAGGACTGCACATATAGATTCTAATCTAACGGTATCAGCTCATGAAAGTGTTTCGCTAAAAGATGATGAAAATGCCAGAAAACATCTGTTCTGCTAGGAAATGGGATCTTCACAGGTCTGGAAGGCTGCGATGCCGTTGTTTCAAAATGTTTTAAACGTGATATTTATCATCAGGAACTCGAGTTGTGCTAGCCCTGTTACTTTCGAACTGTTAGGATAAAGCCGATATAAACGTGGTACGTTTTCGAACGAACAACCCAAACTCGTCGAAGTTTGAACTCCGATTCGACACAAATTCTCTCAATCGGGAGCCTCTCTGTGCTTACAAACGCTCAATAAAAAAAGAAAGTTGAAAACTAAATTCGAACTCCGGTTCTACTTGTTCATAACGACAAAATACCAGATGGTACCGCTAGTTACACCGACGGTAAACCGAACGGTGACCGCGGTGACCAGAAAAATGTTTTTTTCTGAAAATTAAGTGATGCTCAAGCCTATCGAGTGTCATGCTTAGGATAAATACGAATACCATAGTTGATATATATTTCGAAAGCGTTATTTTCAAAAAGATGTGAAGTCTTAGTTTTAGCATACTTGTATTAGTCGGGCTAATAACTTTAGTTGTAGAAAGAAAATTATGTAAGAATAAAACTTTTCAGTTGTTCTAAGAAATAATCAATGAAATTTAAGAATCTCGTCTAAGTGTTGGTTACAATCACTATCAATCGTTTGACCCTCTACAACAACGGCAAACTTTTTTATGAAGATAAAATTATCAAAGGTAAAAATTTTGTATATTATACGCTGTTACTAGAACCTTCGTAATGTATTTGTGAATCTATATAAATACTGAAAACATAGGCGTCGGAGCGATCCCGAAATCAGCGAAGCTCAAAAAAATTTCAATCTCCTCTAGTTTGTAATAATATACATGAAACGTATCTTTTGCACGGTTTTAATGCGAAGCAATATCGAAAAAGTGTCATTTTCTGTAACGATTTTCTCGGGAACGAGAAGGGGTGCAGTAAAATTTTAAACGCGAATAGGGAATTGTGTGTCTGAATTAATAAATAAGCTGTTCTCACTCTTTACAGATGTTTGAGTGGAGAGTTAGGACGTTCGAAAGTACGTGATTTGAACGCCTGATACTTGTAATTATTTTTTCAAAAGACATTGATAATTAATCTGAGTCATCCATGTGCAAGTGCATTTCTAAGAGAGTACGTTCTCATACTATGTGATTCATTTCATGACAATGTTTTTATATGTATTCAGCGAATAATTAACGCGATGCCTTATCTCTAAATGCATTACTGTTTTAAAGATGATTAACGCAATATGTAAGATAAAATCTCTAGTGTAGGCTGTGATAAAGGTTAAAGCTTTAGACTGATAAATCATTATTTGAATCTCACAACTCTCGCCGACTTTAGTAATCAAAACATTTTTTTATTATGCAGGTAATCTACACTTTCTTCATCAGTTATGTGGTAAGGATGCTGTGTGTTATTAAACAAAATCTTCACCTCCGGTTATATTTATCTGCGTCGCACCGCATTTGCAACTCTCGCTAGCGTGCGTGATTGCCGTCTAGTTCACATCTGAAAATCTCACAAATGGTAAAGATTTTTAAGATTATTTCGGTGCACGTCTGACGATGACTTGCTTCACAAAACTGGGTAACAAGTCGCATTCGAAAATCAGCCGTTGTCCGTTACCGTCATCTTTCAAAAATATTTCAATTGCGCGCAACGAAGATGGGAAACTTTCTCACAATCTCTCCTAGAATGTGTCGTCATTCTCGCTAATGTTCACAACAGATACGATAAATGTTAGTTGGTCTACTTGACACAAAAAGAGAAAATACTGATTGCTTAAATCGACTGTTTAATGTATTTTCATGTTTCTTATTACCTTAGAGTACTAGCTATTGTAATTATCGAAATTTTGTTATAATCTATCGCATATCTATAAACAGAGATTCCCCGTGTGCATAAACAATGAGGATCCAATAATGAAAAATGTGCACACATACATTGTATATCATGTGTCCACATCTTGCTGCATACAACTTAGTATGGACCATGGCGTGAGGTCCATTCATTTTTGCAACATGAAAAGCATGACTGATATATTTACAAAACAAGTTTAATATCAATAATGGCAATAAAAATATAGAAAAAATTAAACTTTTGATATATTTTGCAATCGTTCAGCTTGTTCATGTGATTTTTTTATCAAATAATCGTCGTCGATCAACAAAACCTAATTTTGTTTTAAAAAAGCTATATGGACCAGCACTCGTCTGAGTGTCTCTAAAATATAAACATAATACTCTAATTACACGAAAACAACTGTCAAGTGATAAACTTACTTTCCCAAGTTTCTCATACGTATTCGTGCTTCAATTGGCATTAGCTCTGGTTCTTCCTATAAAATTTTCACTTATAATAGTAAAATGAGAAAATTAGTTATCTCGTTACCTCTTCAGCTTCTTGAGCGAAAAGTGGTGGTAATACTTTTGCCAATGATTGAACGGAAGTAGGATTATCTATTTTCTAAAATATGTTGAAATTTTACTTCAGAACTAGAACGAATAGTGTAATTATAAAACTCATACAGTTGCATTTAATTTGATCTGAATACCACCATGTACTGTTTGACGTTTATTGAACGAATCAAGAATTTCATTCTCTTCCAAACATCGTCTCTTGCTATTTGTTTCTTGTTTGTTGAAATTTTTATCCGAATTATCGCGCTTATCTTCAATTTGGTTCACTGGTGGCGTTATAGTTACTAGAATAAACATATAGTCGTGCGTTCAGCTAATATTATATAATATTTACTATAAAATTTATTGACATAAGTAGCGATGGTGCGACTTTATCTCTAAATGATGCTTGTCACGCATAAATAATTTCAGCTACTTATGACTACCAAAAAGTTTAATTTTGTTCGTTCTGTTTGTCCATTTTTTAAACTGTCTGAAATTCGGCCATAGTATTGTAGAAAAAAAACTGTGCTAATGCTTGTATTTTTTGACTAGTTAACAAAATTACATTTTCTGCTTCTTGTGCAGTTTTTTGTGCATTTCTAAACGGGGTTATATCCGGACTAACGATCTAGTTAATTTGAAGTTCTACTTTAATAGAACTGAGAAGAAAGAAGAATAGTGAAAGAGACAGGAGGGAGAGAATGATAAAAACATCAAATGCTGTTTGTTAAAAGTAAATGTTACCTACGGATGCCACTACTTTGTCTCATTTTTTTATATGATTTTAGTTCAAAACTTATAAAACCTTTTCTTTTCATTTTAAAAGCTATCAAAAATAATACAATTGATATATATGTATGATACTTATAGTATCTTAAAAAAAAAGACAAAATATATGTCCTTGTTCATTTCTGGTCGTTAAAAAGGACAAGGTGACAAAAACAGAGATTTGTAATCTATTTCGATTAAACATGACTTTTTTTATCATTCATTGTATCTATTTATTTGACATTCTCGAAGAAACATTAAATTTCATACATCAGATGACGAAAACAAAGATGACAAAAATGACAAAATTGAAGAAAAAATACAACAATATATCCTCCACCAT